GGGCCTGTGCCCGCCAGGGCGGCGCAGGGAATGTCAGCGTTCAGCGGGGCTCGGCCGAGCCGGGAGGGGCCGGCGCTGGGCCTACGCGCCCGCTTGGAGGACGAGGAAGGGCACGGGTGGGGGAGGCGCTGGCAGTGCTTCCGCTCTGCCGGCGATGTGTGCTGAGGAGCAGGAGGGATCCGGGCTTGCAGGAAAAGGACATGGGAAGGTTCTGGTGCGGAGTAATCGCAGAGACCCTCGTAGATTCTGCCTTGGGGAGCACAGAGTGCATTTTCTGGCTCTGCATGGCCTGCAGCGTCGGGCGCTGAGGTTACAGGCCCCTACTTCTTTCATCGGTGGAGAAGAGCAGTGAGTTAAACTGTGGATTCTAAAGACCATCTCTCCCATCCTTTTTCCCTTTTTCTCTTATTGTTTTTCACCAGTTTATTCATAGCTGGGTAACTGAACATCTAGATGCATTCGGGTGCTTGCTGTTCTTTTTTTAGTTCTTTCTTTTTACTAGTTGTGGGGCATACACCAGGTAACCTGCTATTTAAGATACAGGAGTGCACTTAAGAGTTAAGTGCAAATGCTTCCTGTATGTTTCTCAGTCAGTTTGTTGGCTTCTGAAGGTCAAACCTTGATAATACTTGCAGTACTATAGAAGGAGTAAGGGTGGAAAGGACAACAGTGAGTCATTGTCATCATCCTTAAAGGTCTAACTTCCCTGCTGAAGCAGGGTCATCCTAGAGCAGATTGTACAGAATTGTGTCCAGATTCTTGAATATCTCCAAGAGGGGAGACTCCACAGAGTCTTTGGGTAGCCTGTTTCAGTGTGTGGTCACCACAGTAGAGAACTTCTTCTTTATATTCAGATAGAACTTCCTGTACATCAGTTTTTGCCCATTGCTTCTTATCCTGTTGTTTGGCATCACTGAGAAGAGTCTGGATCCATCCTCTTGACACCCTCCAATCAATACTTACAGACAATGATGAGGTCTTCTTTCAGTCTTCTTTTCTTGAGGCTGAACAGACCTGGCTCCTTCAGTCTTTATTCATAAATGAGGTGTTCACATCTCCTCATCATCTTCTTGGCCCTCCCCTGGGTCTGCTCCAGGAGCTGCATGTCTGTCTTGTGCTGAGGGGACCAGAACTGGGCACAGCACTCCAAATGTATCCTCACTAGGGCTGAGTAAAGGGACAGGATCACCCTTGAGCTGCTGGCAGTGCTCTTCCTAATGCATTACAGGATACTGTTGGGGTGGCCTTGGCCACACAGACACACTGCTGGCTCGTGGATAGCTTGGCTGTCCAGCAGGACCCCCAGCTCCTTCTCTGCAGGGCTGCTTTCCAGCAGGTTAGCCCCCTAGCTTCTGATGGTCCATGGGGCTATTCTTCCCCAGGTACAGAACCCTGCATTTGCCTTTGTTGGATTTAATTCACTTCCTCTCTGCATGCCTCCAACATGTTGAGCTCTGTCTGAAGAAGTGCACAATAGTAGAGGTGAATATTAAAATATTAATTCTCTTGAGTTGTCAATAACTTAAAAGTGTCTCTTTAGTTTTAGTTAAAAAAAAAATAATTACTTTCAATAAGCTACCTTTTCTGAAATACCATGATAATTGAAGTATTTTAGGAGACTTGCATGAATATTCATAGATTATGTGAAAGAGAGACAGGTTAGATTTTATGAAGTTTTCAAGAAATCATTTGTGGCTTTCAGTGGAGTAATCCTGCTGCTAGCTAAATAAAGCCCTAAATCGCTCTTTGGTATGCTAAATATATTCAGTAGGTGCACTTATTTCTTTAAAGCATTATGCTTAATCTTCATCCTGTTTGTTGGCAGTTACGGTCAAAGGTGGCCAAAGTTTTTCAGTCTTTATAATCTTTTTTGCTGAGTTCACTATTTCATGTACCATTCGGTTCTCTGGCTTTTGTGCTGAGAACATAACGTGTTGCAGAAGATATCTGGGCTTGCACAAGGTCACACAAAGTCAGTACAAACCACACGACCTTCTGAGATCAGCTCAGGGCATCAGTCACAATGGAGCTCAGAGACCAAGTATTTTATGACTGGCTCATGGAATTTGTCCTTGTGAACATGTCAGATTGGAAGCAGAGATATTAAATAGTTCCAACGTAGCTGTCTCAACAGAGTAGATATATTTTTATGTCACATATTTATATTTGTGTACCTTTAAGAGTTTTTGTCTTAATTAGAATTACTTTCTTGTCCTCTGTGCTGCATGTTCAGCTGGTTCTCTTCTCAAGTTAATGGTTTTCAGAAAATTTGACTCTCCTTCTGAAATAGGAAGTCCAAGATCATCTGTGGATTTGTTTTCCTAATACTACTGTACCACTACAAACCTAGGCACCTCTAAAGAGCTCAAGCCTAATTGATACTGGCTTTCTTAATTACTGTACTTGAACACCAGGCTGATAGGTCAGTCTGAATAGCACTGAAATACAGCCCATACATAAAACTCTACTTTTCTGTGGCTACCATAAAGGTCTGACCCTGTCATTTGAGGAGTATGACTTCTGAATTACTGTGAAAAAGGCAGTGAGAACAAACAGTTCTGAGATCTGGGCAGCATGGTAGCTGTTGGCCAAAGACACAGCTAGACAGAGCTGCCCCAAACAGACCTAGACTCTGTTCTCTGATTACACCTGCCTGATCTGTGTGTAACCAGCCATTCTGGAAAGTTGTAAACAGACTTATTTCTGTCTGCAAATCTGCTAGCATAGCCAAGCCATTTTGGAGCCATGTGTAAGTCTCAGACCAGCATATTTACAGTCTTTAGCAGTGTGTCAATTAAAAATAAGTTATTCTGATGACTGATTTCTGGCTTTTAACTTAGGTTCTCTATGGCATCTGTGATTTGATATTTATTGTTTTAAATATAGAAAAGCTTATTTTTTATTGTTTGGGTAATTTTAAAGAGTAAGGTGAAAAATGTAAATATAAAATCTGATGTAAAATCTGGATTATTTGTGGGAGGGAGTTCCTTTAAAAAAGTTATGAGCTGGATAAGCTTGCTAGTGTTACCTGCTGCTCTGTTGGTGCTCTTGAACATCATTGTCAGTTTCTGTTAATGTTCATAAAGGAATTCAGAATCAGAAAGATGGCAGAGAAGCTCTGCATAAGATAGGCTTTTGCTATCTTTTAGTTTTCATTAGTGTTTCTTGGAGATAGTTCTCAGTAAGTTGTAACACTTCAATGCCGTTATGTTGAAGTGACACCAGTAGATTTAGTAGCAAAAAATTATCTTTCTACTTCGGAGAATATTTTTCTCATAGTTATGATTTTCTGTATGCTTATTCAGTATATCAGTTTTGCTTCTACTTATATTTTCAAAACATTGAGCATAGTAGTAGAACTGTGGTGCTACTTTATGCTTATTTTGTACTGTTCATTGTAAATTGGAGTGTTTTTTGTTTGCACTCACACATAGCCTCTGTAGCTTCTTCAAAAATGAAAGAAGAAAACATTCTTTTTTTATAGCTCCGGTGACTTCGCTGTATAGAAATATTAAATTAAATAATATTAATTAATAATATTAATAGTAATAATAAATATTATGAAAATTAATAGCTTGTTTTAAGATTGGGTAGTTTTATACACAGTATATACAATGTATAGAACAGTGCATATGAAGTATCTCTTGATTAAATGTGACCAGAAATATTCTTTAATGAACCTTGTATGAGTATTCAGTGGGACAATAAATAGCAAGCTGTATACATTTGAGATTCTGTATTTGAAACACAATTTTAAAAAACTTGTAAATTAAAAAAAATCTGCAAATAATCTGAGAAATACCTGAAAATAATGTGCATATCTCCAACACCAGTATTGTAGATTTTTATAGTATCTACTTAAATACAGGAGTTAATCTGTTATAGAATATTTAACAAAATAAGCTTTGTCTTTTAAGTACTAGAGAAATACTGTTCTTCCTTAATTTGTGGCTATAGGAAATTGTTGGACATTGCAACTTTGAGTCGTAGTTTCTGTTAGTAACATCTGGGATTAATTTTTATGGTTTTAGTGTGCTGCAAGCGAAAACGTCACAGTTTCTTTCTTTGATTATTTAAAGGAATACATTCAATTTGGAAGCCTTAGAGTCAAATCTTGTCCATCCAAAATGTTTTAATTCAAAGCAAAATAATTATTTTTCATTATAACACTATATTCAAGTAATACAGCATGGGAGGTTATTTCAGTTTAATACTTTTGAGAAAGTAGCACTTAGTTTTGCTTCTTTTTTGATCATTGTTACCATTTATGATTGATCATATATATGTAATTTTTTCCAATTAACTAGAATACAGCTGTGCCTATGGCTCAAACAGATTCTTTGTGCTTTGTGGCCTTGGTGGGATTATTAGCTGTGGAACAACACATACGGCACTGGTTCCTCTAGACCTGGTTAAATGCAGAATGCAGGTTTGTTCTGCATGTTGGTATGTGACGACAGAGCATGTTTAGTGTGGTATATTTAATTACTAATGAACTGGAGGCATAAACTATACCGTGGACATAGCTGTCCAACTGTGCATGGAGTTAATATAAAAGCATGGTGTGTCTTTATTTTTTGCTGCAGAGTACAGTTGTGAATATGGCTCGCTCAAGTTTTATGCTCTTTGTGGCGTTGGTGGGGTCCTAAGTTGTGGCCTGACACACACTGGTGTCGTACCTCTGGATTTAGTGAAATGTCGTATGCAGGTTTGTATAAACTTAAACATTTCTTGAACTTTGGTTTTCTATCTAGCCAGCATATTAAGAGTTGTCAGTAGGGATGCAATCTTTTGTGGATGACCAGAAGCAAGTAAACTTGAATGCTACTGTAAGACTAGCAAAATACCACTTTAAAGAGAAGTAAAGGTATTACAGATAATCTGGACGCATTGTTTTTGACAGCATTTAAGGCATGTTTAACTGACTCTATTTGCTAAAAGGCACTCACCACAATGTTACTCTGCTGGCTGGTTTGCTGTCCAGCACTATTCCAGTGCTTTTGGAGTAAGGAAATAGTACCTTTTAGATCTGTGGTTTTTAGCCTGGAGTGGCATGCATGTGTAATTTGATCCATTAACACTGGATATCAATGCATGGCTTATGGATTGGATATTTTCTAAGGATGCCACTTTGAGTAGAGTGGCTAAAACTTGGTTTCAGGAACGCCATCGATGCTTGCAACTGCTTTCCTTGAAGTGGTTTTTGATTGAACTGAAAGGGGCATTGTTGCATTTGGCTTATGACACATGAAAATAATTTTGTGAACAGCCATGGATAAAAACATACTAATGGATTTATTCAGGCAAATCTACAGGAATGAAGCAAATAAAAGCACACTTGTAAATATAGTAGTTAATGATTTCTGTGTTGCACAGGCTGATACTGACTATAAAAATGGCCATTTTGTAATTATAGAACTCCTGCATTAAGAGGGAACTATGAGTTAGTCAGACCTCCTTGTCACACTAGGAATATGTGAATATGCACGTGCTGTGCATATTCAAAAACTTCAAAACTGTGTTCTTCTGAATGGCCATTATTTAACAGTGTTTACCAGAGAGACCTTTCCACATTCTTGAGAGCACCTGAAGGTCTATTCTCAAACTAGGAAATCTGTAACACTTCAGACATACTCAGTGTGGGCTACCAGTTCCTATTTATTACATGATAAGGGTGGTGATACTTCTCCTTCCGTCTCCAGTACTTTGAGGGAGGTTCAGGATGGGGGTTCCATATGGATTTCAGGTGTGATCTTGTAAAACCTGTCAGCATTTATCTCTTTACAGATCCAGTACAGCATGTTTCTAATCCTTCCTAAGTTCTCCAGGAAGAAACCTGTTGCCTGCCCTCTCATGTCTTTTTAAGAAGAGGTCACCTTTGCCATGGTTTAGCTGAAACCAGGACATCTGTTACATACCTAATAACTAAGCATGGTTCTGACTTGAGCATAGTCTCATTTTACAGTGCCTGATTAAATACCCACTTTTCTAAAATTGTCGGTTCAAAAGTGACATATTTAGGTGAACTAGATCCTAAGTATGTTGTTCCTAGCTGCAAGAGAAAACACCAGTCTATGAATGCTCATGCATGTCCTATAGCTCTTTCTGAACGTTTGATGGGCATCCAGTTTGATATCTTCCTTCTTATCCTCTGAGGAACTGTTGGATGATGTGAAGTATGAAAAGTAACAGTGGGATGTGACTTAATTACCTGTTGAAAAGTTTCTGCTAAATCACTTCCTTTCACCTGAAACAAAATTATTCAAGTCAGTCTGTGTTAAATTCTGATGAGTTAATAAAATCTCACTCAAAATTTTATAGACAGAATACAGAAGACAGGCTACAGTTTGTGTAGCCTTTATTGCAAAGTGAAAGTACAAGTGTAGAAGTTTTTGAGTACTCTTTGGTCTGCTTTGCTCCATTTGTCTTAGCCTGACTATGTGGAGAGATGACACAGGAAAAACAACCTTCTCTGATCAGTAATTTGGTAAATCATTAGGTTTCTGGCAACGTTCCTGTACATACCCATAGTGTGTAAAGTAAATGAGATTGCTGACATTTTTTAAAAATCTGATCCAGTACACCTGACAGTGTTAGAACAGTGATTTCAGTAAATCTTTTCATTACAGTTGCACTGTTAATTTGGACAGTTAAAGCGAAACAAAATTTAATTTGGTGGTTTCTGAGTATTGAGGAATATACTGGCTGTTAAAACAATTCTGGGTTTGAGACTAGCAAGTAACCATTATGGTTACATTAGTGTAACTTTGTGGTGAGTACATCATCTGTCTAGGGAATTATAGGAAGCTGGCTGTTTGAGGAATAGGAAAATTAACAGTTTTGGATGGGGTTGTGAGGAGGAAAATAGTAAGCTATATCAAACATTTACCTGTCTATTCTGTTTAGGTCGATCCACAAAAATACAAGAGCATCTTCAATGGATTTTCAGTGACAATCAATGAGGATGGTGTTCGTGGCTTGGCTAAGGGATGGGCTCCAACCTTTATTGGCTATTCCATGCAAGGGCTTTGTAAATTTGGTTTTTATGAAGTTTTCAAAATTCTGTATGGCAACATGCTGGGAGAGGTAAGCCTTAAATTTACATAAAGCTATATGTCTGCAGCATAATATTATTAGTGATAAGGCATAATCAGAAAAGCATGATTCATTAATAAAAATTTGTGTTGAAATTCCTTTCAGGAAAACGCCTATTTGTGGCGTACTTCGCTATATTTAGCTGCATCTGCCAGTGCAGAGTTTTTTGCTGACATTGCTCTGGCTCCAATGGAAGCTGCTAAAGTTCGTATTCAGACACAGCCTGGATATGCCAACACTCTACGGCAGGCTTTACCCAAAATGTTTGCAGAAGAAGGCATCTGGGCGTAAGCATCCCTTCATCTTAATTGAAGTTCTTGATTTTCAGTACATTTTCTTAATGAAGAACTGGTGCTATAACTAATTCTGGCCTTAGCTTGTAATGCTTTTTGGTCTTTATATTTCAAGATAAGAACTTAACATACT